CGTGGGGGGGAGCATGCTGCCTGGCCCAGCTGGATGGCTAAGGCCTTGGTTCCTGGAGCCCTGCGGGGACAGAGGGCTGGACGGTGTGACTTCCCAGAAAGGGAGGGATGCCTTCTGAGCCCTGCTCTCTCCAGAAGGTCTCTGACCCTCGCTGGGCCCGGTGCCCCCTGGGTGGGTGGTGCAGGTCCCTGCTGCTGTGAGGCCCCAGATCTGCTGCCTGGAGACTTGGCAGCTGGGAACACAGGTCCTCTCCCAGCGCACGAGTTCACTGAGCTGGAGAGGAAAATGGCCCACCTGCCAAGGGCACCTGCACGCCACTCGTTCACTCGCTTACTCATTCCTTCCCCGCACGTCTCTCAGAGGCATGTGGTCTGCCCGACACTGTGCCAGCCCTGGAGAAAGCCCTCACCCACTCTCTGTGGAGCGTGCTCAAGGAAGGCGAGGCCGCAGCCAGGCGCCATCCTGGTTGAACAACTTTGCAAACACCCCGCCCTCTGGGAAACCCTCTATCTCAATGAGGCCACATGTGTTTTGTGCTTAAAACTCCACTAATTTTTCCGTGTCTTGCATTCATGATTCTCTGTAACCATCAGCGGGAACCGTGGGACATTTTTACCCCTGACCATGTTGCACGGAGGTGGGCTCAGCACGCACGGCACCGCTGAGGGCCTGAGCTCTGAGCTTACAAAAGGGGGTTCAGTGCCTGATGGTTTGCTAGAAATCACAGTCCTGACGATTCCTGAGTGACCTGGTGAGCTGCTGTGGGTCCTGGTGTCTTTTGTTGAGATTTTGTTAACAGTTCACAGGAAACTACGAGGTACCTCACTGCAGGAGAAGTTTCCTTTGTGTCCCTCTCCCAGGAAGAGCCTGCTCATGTTATGGCCAGAGGATATGGCTGGATGGTGAATATAGAAGCAAGGGGGGTATAGAAGCAAGAACAGAGGCCTGGGAGCTAGAACTCCTGTGCGTGTGTGCAGCCAGCAACCTGCCGTGGGGCCTTCCGCAGGCTCCCGGCCTCTCTGGACTCTCTCTGCTTCGTCGGAAGGAGGCAGTGTGGTACAATGGTTAAGAGCAGCGGCTCTGGCCTCAGGCTGCCCCTTTCTAGCTCTGTGTCCTTGGGCAACTTTGAGCCTTGGTTTCTTCATCTGTAAAATGGGAATAATAGAAATATAACTCCCTCACGGGGCAGTTTTAAGAATTAAATGAGCTAATACGTGTAAGCTGACCTAAGATATATAATTTATGAAAGCAGCTGGCACGAACTGAGAACTCAGGTGCTACCAGCCATTTGTTATTAGAGTGCCCACGTGTCCGGGGACCAGCCAGGGCCCAGGGCAGCATTCACCGGTGGTTACAGAAGGGAATGGAATGGTCGGAGCTTGGAGGCAGGTGGGGTCCCAGCTCACAGATGGGAAAACTGAGGCTCAGCTCCCTGTTCCACAGGAAGCGGGAGCTCCTATTCCCAGCACCGCCCCGGTGGCCTCACCGCAGGGACTTCGCAGAGAGGGACCGCATGGTCTCCCACATGGCCTGGGCCCAGGGGGCTGCGGTGCGCATGGCAGCCTCCTCCCTTCATCACCCCTGGGATGGAGGCCCCCTCGGAGCCCCAGCCTCAGGGCAAGAGTGCTTGCCCATTCCCCGCCTCACACCCTGCAGCAACCCTGTGTTGGCGCCTATTTCACAGCGAGAGATCCAGGGGATCCGGGGAATCAGCTGACTGTCCCAAGTATAGGGACGTTCGGGGCTGGAACCCGTCTGTCTGATCCCAAGGCCCCCAGCCACCTCCAGAGCGGCTGGCAGGGGTCGCTGCCATGCCGGCTGAGCCTTCTGTGGGCCCTGCCCTTTACAGGGTGAGTCCCATCATCCTCAGGACAACCCAGTGATGTCGGCCCCATTAGGATGCCCTGTTATGGACCTGGAAACCGAGTCACACGATGACAAGTCACTCCCCCAGGCCCTCACTGCCCTGCTGGCCAGAGGCCACTGGGCGGGGGGCGGGTTCTGTCCTTCTGCCCGCATTTCCTCCACAGAGCTGAGAGGAAAGAGCCCGGCATTTATTGAGCACCTACTACGTGCCGGCCCATCTCAAACCATTATTTTGCAAGCTGAATATTCTTAATTGCATTTTATGGACAAGAAATGAGACTCAACGAGACACCTAGTTGGGGGTGGGAGGCGGGAGGTAAGATTCCCTAGCCTGCGACCCCTGAGTTTGCGCTGGAGACGCCAGAGAAGTGGGGGCCCCTCCCGGGGAGCTGGTCCCCCTCCCACTGCCTCCTTTCTTCCCCCCTCCTGCCCCAGGGAAAATTAAGTGGTGAACGTTTTCAAAGTCGACCGTCAAAAGAAAATGGTTGGAGGAAGGAAATGTGCAATTAGGAGCTTTGGCGTAATTTCCACCGTGTGGTTTGAGCTCGACTGTAAACACTCAGGGTGGGAGGACGCGCTTCCCCGGGCTGGGGCTCCTGCCAGCCCTGCGGGGCCCCAGGACCAGGAGAGCCAGGGGGGCACCCGCGGGGAGGCGGTGGACTCGGACCGCGAGGCGCTGGGGGCTGTGGGAAGCGGCCATTCCCAAGGGAGGCTTCTTCCAGCAGAATGCGCCAGCTTTACAGAGAGGAAATATTAACATTGTAATTATAATTCTGTGTATTCAATTAAGTTATTAAACAGGCCTGGCCTGCGGGAGAGAGAGAAAAACCCTCCGTTTCATTCTAATTGCTTCTCCCAGGATGTAATTAGAGACTTACAAAGGAATCAAGCCAGAAAGGGCGGCTGGCTCTGCTGGGCCTGGGTCTAGGCCCAGGGTCCGGGTCTGGGCCTCCGTCTGGGCCAGGGTCCAGGGTCTGGCCAGGGTCTGGGCCCAGGGTCTGGATCTGGGACTGGGGTCTGGGATCTGGTTCTGGGGCCTGGGGTCTGGGCCTGGATCAGGGTCTGGGGTCCGTTCCTGTGGTCTGGGGCCTGGGTCTGGACCTGGGTCTGGGATTTGTGCTGGGTCTGGGTCTTGGGTTTGAGCCTGAGGGCTGGGGGCTGGGGGCTTAGGGCTGGGGGCTGAGCCTGGAGTCTGGGCTTGGAGTCTAGGCTGGGTCTGGGTCTGGGCCTGGGGTCTGGTCCGGGGTCTGGTCCAGGGTCTGAGATCTGGGCCTGGGATTTGGGTGAGTGAGCAGAGCTGGTCCCAGTCAGAGAAGGCTGTGCTCTGAGAACATCATTGCCACGAGGGCAGGGGTTTGGACCTGTTGGTGTCTTCATGCCTGGCACGTAGTAGGTGCTCAAGAAATCATTATGGGATGAGTGTCTAGTGGCCAGTGACCAGCTAAAGAGGCCGGGAGTGGCTGTCCAGCTGCCATGGAGATCTCGGCAGAGCTGTTCCAGATTTGCAGTGGCTTCTTGCTGGACCCAGGGCCAGACTTGGCCAGAGCACACTGCTCTGCCTCCCTGGTGGCCAACACTGATGTCCATCCCGGCTGTGACCATGCTCTGCTGCTGGTTACATAGATGACCTTCATCTCTTCCTTTAGCCTGTGCTTTGGTCACCGGCACCTGATGACCAAGGAAAACTGTGTCACCCAGGGAGGGGCCAACATTCCGCCAGCCCCAGCCCTGTCCTAGCAACAGAACCCTGTACCTCCCAATGGGGCGGGTTTTTAAGCATCGGGGTCAGAGGGTCCAGAGAGCAAAAGCCCCTCCTCCAGACCCCCCATGTCAGGCCCCCTGTGGAGCCTCTGGGGGAGGAGGGGCCCAGAGTGGGTGCAGGCCCTAGATCCGGCTCCACGCTCCTCTAGCCGGAGCCGACAGCTGCCCCCAGGCTCCGTGCAGAAGCTCCCGTCGGACGGGAAGTGTCTCGTTCCAGCTGGCACGGCCTTATCGAACAGCCAGGCTTTGTCAGTGTGGACAGCTGCGGTGACGGGGGCTGGCTCCGCGCTGGGCTGGGGGCCGGCTGGGGGGCTGGATTTGGGAGGCTGGGGAGGGGGAGGCCGAAGCCAGCAGCGTCTCCCAGTGGGCGGGGGAGCGAGGAGA